TATTACCTTGCAGGGAAAAAATCAAATTAAGCTGTGAAGGTGGCATGCCTGGCTTTATAGGAAAAAATCAAAACCCTGCCTCCTGCAGGATCCGCAGGGAAAGCTTGTGGCTGTTGTGCTTACAAAAATCGTGTAGGTTAATCTCTTGGGGGCAGCCTTATCTCGGCAGGTATGCAGCAAGTCAGTGTTTGACTTCAGGCTACAGTGCTCAGAATGGTCAGGGCTGGTGCTGCTTTGGAAGGCTTTGTCCTCCCCACCGCTGGAGTGAATTGTAATTAATAAGGGATTAGACAGTGAGCTATCATTGAAGTCCTGCCCCAAGCCTTCCCTGGACACAGGGAATTCAGTGTGTTTTGCAGATGATAAAAGAACGAGTCAGACTCTTAGGATCAAGGAATCCTGTAAATCGGAGATGGAAAAGAACTGTTAGGTTATAGTGCATTTCCCAGCCAAGGGATGTTTGTTTCCTCGAGTATATATTTTTCTATTGCTTTGTTCAACCTAGTTTTAAGCTACCTGGTTCTTGTTTCACAGGAGGCATTTTGTGCCTGAGCACTGAGCCCTCTGTGGCTAAGTTATAATTGCCATATTGTGAGACTCAAGGACGTGAAGGCATAATTCTTTTTTTAAAAAAACCTGTCCCTTTTTGAAGTTCAGGCTGAAAATAGAATCGTTACTTTATCGAGGGATTTCAGTGCTCTTTGCTGAGTGCAGTTTGGCAGCACTGCCTACTCTCCGTACCAGGGCTAACTCAAACAGTGATTGTGTGGCAAAGGATGCTTTGTTATGGACCCTGGGTAAAATGATGCCAGATGTGCTCTGAGTGGGCTGCCCTGTGCCAGGCGTGTAGCTGACCCTTACACACACAGGCCTCTGCTTCCTCTTCTCCGAACACTTTTGCACATTGATCTTAAGTGCTGACAAATATGCCATGCAACAGGCCCAAAAATACAGTCTCTGCTCCAAAGAGCTTACAGCTGAAGAACACACCATAGGTGTGTGTAACCTGGAGGGGATAGAGTTGTTTTTTTTATTTGTGAGTTGGTGTTGTGAAAGAATCCCAGAGGGATTTGAATGTAGAGGGTAGTGGCTTGGTGAAATGGGTTTGTAAGGCCTTTTCCATGCACAGAGAAGCACAGAATGACAGAAACAGCCAGAGTGGGAGAAGGAAATTAGATTGGGAGCGCAGGTTACATCCTCATCTGGACAAGGCCCCAGCGATATGAAGGCATGAGGATAGCACAGTAACATGTTTGAAAAGTCTTAGTCTAGACAAGGCTCCAGCCTTTAAAATGGGCTAGATAGATTGAGCTAAAGCATAGGTTCCTCACTAGCATTGCAGCTGTTATCCACAAATGGCCTGAAAACAGCCCTGCGTAAGTAACACACCTTTCACGCTCTGCGGGTTTTCCACATCCTGCAGACTGTGAATATGGTGCAAGAAACACATACCTCAAACGAGGCTGGGTGTCCTCTGAAAAGCTCTAGGAGCTTATTCGACCCCTAAATGTGGCTATCTGGAGATTCTCAGCTAATTCTGGGAATATCAACTGGTTTTTCTGTGAATTAACTCCATGAATGCCTCTAGCCCCCACCCTTCAGCAGCTTGTACAGCTGATTGGTGGACATTCCTCAAGTAGAAATGCTTATTCATGTTGGGTCTTGAGTTATTACATCATGGCACTACAGGCTTATTTTGTGGTAACTGAAATAATTACTGTTCAGTCAGGATGAGGCTGTGATGTGGTGACGTTTATGTGATCAGTTAATCACACACTTATTTTGAAAGACAGCCCATTCGTGTGTTCCAAGTGAGCTTTTAGTGGGAGGTTAGAAACACAATCTCATAGTGTAAGGCAATTAATTACCTTAATCATTACTTTGTTTTTTCCAAGGTGGGGGGGGGGAGAGAATAATTTGCTCATCATGTTAAAATGGATTCAGCTTGTTAAATCCTTTCTGCCACTATGCAACAGATAATAGGCATTTTGTGTGACAAGTTCTCGTGAATGCAAAAAGATGCAAAACAGACGGGTTCTCTGATGATGCATGTGACATGACATGCATACACAGATGCCACAGTATGAGCAGAACATACTGTTTCTACTGACTTCCGACCCATTGGGTAGGTAACAAGGCACCAGGTCAAACCTCTGTCCTCAAAATTTACTAAGGGCGTGTCTACAGTTAAACCACGGTAGCAGCACGGCTGTGGCTGCCCTTTTGTAATGCTGCACTGAAGACACGCTCTCTGCTGACGGGAGGGGTTCCCCCTTCTGCATAGTCAGCCTCCCTCCCTGAGAGGCAGTAGCTAGGTCGACAGAAGAATTCTTCCATTGCTTTACACCGGGAGGTGAGGTCAGCGTAACTACATGTGGGTTTTTCACACCCCTGAGAGATGTAGTGATGCCGATGTAAGTTCTCCGTGTAAACCAGCCCTTAGGACTGAGACTGTGAGCTCTTCAGCACAGGGACCTTGTCTTTTAATATGGTGGCACAGCCTGGGGCCTGACCTTGAGTGGTATCTCTAGACAGAGTGATGTGAGAGATTGCACTGTAATGTGCTTTGGATACTTCTGAGTATCAAGGGTACACTAGTAGAGCGAGGGTTTTCGGACTTCCCGGGTTAGTGCAGTTACAAGGGCAGGCACAAACCGTATGTAAATCCTTATGTAAATGTGGAGCTGGGGATGGGTGCTCATTGTCATTATTCAAATCCAGATAAGGGTGTGCAAAATTTAGCCACAGGCTGGGACACTGGGGCAGCTGGTGGCCCAGTGGAGTTTGGCATTTCAAGGCAAACAGCAGTCGCGCTTATGGGCTGTACAGTTTGGAACCTCCTCTCCCCGGGGACTCCAGGAGGGGTTGCCTCGCCTCTGTAGCGAATGCAAGGGTTGCTGTCTAGGCAGAGAGCAAAGTCACCTCCCATGAACGTTGCACAGTATTTCCCTTCAGAATAGTGGTATTAGGTGCCCGGCTCTGCACTGCAGACCTGTGGATCAGTTCATGACTTGTTCTCTAGCAGCAGCAGCCATCTGTGCAGCTCTAACAGACTTGTCTAAGGTGCTCTTCTTTCCACCCAACTTTAATAATCAACGTGCTTTGATTGCTATTTGTGCCCATTACTGCTCAGGGCCCTGTGTGAAATGGCTCAGTCCAGTTCCTTGTGGGCCACCATCGCAGTGGCGTAGCTGTCCCCCTTGCTAGCAAGCTGGGTAGACTCAAGAACTGAACGGAGATAAAGAATGAATTACCCAGTCACCTTTGGAAAACAGGAAGTGGAAGGTGTGCTCCAGGTCAGCAAGGTGTGGTGTGGGGAGAGCGTTCAGTGCCACTGCACAGGTTACACCTGTGGTGAAGAAGAAGTGAGTTTGTCTCTTGAATTGTCACCGTGGCACTTTTCTCATACGTTACTTTCACTCAGGGCTTCTCTACACTTGAAATGCTACAGCATAGACACTGCCTAGCTGATGGGAGGGGTTCTGTCAGCACAGGTAATACAATCCCTGGAGAGGTTAACCCAGCCGTTAACTCATCTTAACTACCATGCCTGGGAGCGAAGTTTTCACACCCCTGAGTGAGGTAGCTGGGTGACCTAACTTTTTAGACCAGGCCTCAGTAGAGGGCAATAAAACTGCCTCTTGCTTATCTCTGCCTCTTGCTTAGCCCTTCCTTGTCTCTGGATTGATAAGTCTGTGTTCAAAGGCAAGGCTGGAAAGTGTTCCAGGAATAAAACCTCACTTTATCACCCAGCGTGGACCTGTATCCTCTGTCTACACTATTGATGTAGTCACTTGCCATTTCCTTGGCTCTCTGTTTACTGCTGGACACTTGACTGAAGTCAGGCATTTGATCCGTCTTCTGGCATAGACACTGAATCTAATTTTAAGAGTTGGAATTCTTGGAGTCCTCAGTATTGAGCAGGAACCAGCTGTTTTGTATTGGAAGTGATATCTGAGACTCCATCTAAACTGGTCCAATCCTGACTATGCCTCATGTTCCTTGCCTCTTGTGCATATAGGAATCTTTGCTCATAATCTGGGAGGAGGGTAGATACTAAGCACTACCCAGCAGGTTCACTTACAGAAATCCAGAGTGATGCTGCTAGATTCCCTGTTTATTTCAGTGGCGTTACACCAGCAGGGAATTGACCAATGGTATTCTGCTTTTGCTTTCTTACCCTGTAGAGCTCATGTTTGCTGTGCCCTCCTGGCAAATGGAAGCAGTTCATAACTTCACTGTTTTACTTGAAGATCTTCTAAATCAAGACTAGTTTTAAAGGCTGGTCGGGTTTTATCCCATTACTTCATGACTCCCTTTCTCTAACTATATTACTGACCTTGCGAAAAGACCCAGAAAGATTGTGTGCACGGGGATGTAGCCAGGAAGTTGCATTTTAAAAACTAGTGCACTGTCAGCTCTTTTTATTGACTGTTTGGATTTATAGAGTTCCCAGACTCTGGGCTCTTTCATGTGAATGTCTATAAATCCACGAAGTACCCAGAATTCATAATGGGACACAAGCAATAAGCCGTGTGGCCTATCCTGATGATGTACCCCCAAAATTTGAGACCCACTTCTCGTGCTCAGAAGGATCCAAAGCACGTTTGAAAAGCAGCAACGTGGATACGTGCAATGCTGGGAATGCTCAGGCTCGTGACAGGTGTTCTGTGCAGTGCAGTAACTTGCCTACCAGAATCTGGCTAGGCCCCTGGGCTTACTCCTGACTGGCAGTGAAGTGTGCCATAAGGACTTCTGCAAGTGGTGGGGCAAAGTAACCTCTGTTATGTGCCATCAGGGAGAGGGGATCTGCAGTGCACCCTCCTCCCCCAAACCAGCCCCACACTGAGTTCTGGCATTGATGTGGAGCCCAAATCTTGGTGCTGCACTTAAATGCACAGGGCTGCATGGCCCATAAGAGAGCAGCACAAAATGAGCGATGTGTGCTGTGCCGTTGGCCTTCCTGGGGGCTGTGGCTCACCTTGCTCTTGTCTCTGCAGCAATGGCAGCCATTAGAAAGAAGCTGGTGATTGTGGGAGATGGCGCTTGCGGGAAGACCTGCCTGCTGATCGTGTTCAGCAAGGACCAGTTCCCTGAGGTCTACGTGCCGACAGTCTTTGAGAACTACATTGCTGATATCGAAGTAGATGGAAAGCAGGTAACTTTCCTGGGGGTCTTGGGCCATCTGCGTTTGCCTAGCGCCTGTATTCTCAAGCCGTGGACAGTCTCTGCACGAGGGACTCTTCAGCTACAGCTGCCGTGCGCTCAGCAGATCTGCTCGCTTCCCCTCCATCTGCCCGCTTCTTGCCATGCCGTCTGTCCAGTGACACAACTCATCCCCCTGTCCCAATGCTTTGGCCATGGCAGCCTGGCTCCTCAAGCCCTGTGCCAGGCATTACTGTTGAGACTATTCGAGGTCTCAGCTATTTACCGTTTTTCTCCAGTACCTCTGAGAGGAGGAAAGGCCTTTCAGCAGGGGAGGAAGAGAGAAGCAAAGAACGACAGGCTGCTTCCAGCAATGCCCTCCTCAACCCAGCATGCAGTGGCAAGCTCAGCAGGGTGGGCCCACAGACATGGATTAGGGAAGGGGCATTGCCTGGTCACCTTTAAATCTACCAGAATTAGCAAAGCAATTTAATTGTCTTAACTGAGAAAAACGGATTGCTTCCCTGCCAGAGAGAATTGCCATCATTACAGCCTGAGGCAGTTGGGGGTCGGGGGGGGGTCGTCTGGTATGCTGCTGCCTTCTTTAAATCTCTCCTTCTCTAGGTGGAACTGGCCCTTTGGGACACAGCGGGGCAGGAAGACTATGACCGGCTGCGGCCCCTCAGCTACCCAGACACAGACGTTATTCTCATGTGCTTTTCCATCGACAGCCCAGACAGTTTAGGTAGGATCACTGGGGCCAGGGAAACAAACGTGGGGTTTAGGAACTAGACTGAACTTCACTGCTATGCACAAAGCCACTTGGTAAGTGGGTGGGCCTTGTGCTGCTGGCCCGCTGCACAGGGGTGAAGTTCACTCTAAACAGGACTATTAACAACATGTTCTTCCAAAACCATTAAGCCCAGGCTTGGATTGAGAGCGCTCTGCTTGCAGTCTGCAGAGATGAGTCTGGCCGAAAGCCTAGAATAGCCTGGAGAGGAACAGAAAAGTTCTTGTTAGCAAACAAACTCGGCACTCAGACTTAGAATGTCACGGCATCGCTCCTGCTCGGCTTCTGCAAGTCAACTCCTTCCTCGTGCAACCTCCTCAGCTGCAAAATAAATGGAGCCCTGTCCAACCCCCCCCCATGCCCTCGCCGCTCATTCCTTCTGCAGCACCTGGGTGTAAACCCAAGTGGATAGAGAGGAGTCTGACACTTGACAATGTAGGTGTTGGCAGATCCAGGTATTGTCTGGCAATGTCAGGGCGAATTCCAGCGGATACTCTGTCCTGGCTTTCAGGGATAGGGCCTGGGGGCCAAAATGCTTCAGCTGTTCTTGACAATGGCTGGGGCTCCTGAAGAGAGCTATGTGTCTGAGCTAGCACTAGTCACTTGCCAGGTCTTGATTTCGGCCTGGTCTCCCCTGTAGCCAAAGGGCGTATCATGCGCTCTGTGCTGCTCTGGGCATCAGCAAAAACCTACCCTGCTCTTATATATAGTGCGTTTGCTTATGCTGCCAGAAAGAGATCCCAGAAGATGAGGCCTGCAGTCTATCCAGAACTCCCACCAGCCCCTTCTGCAGCCTGCCTTAGGTGACTAGAGTGAAACCTGCAGGAGCAGAAGTGCAGATACCTTGTGGCACTTCTGCTCCATTCTCAGGCGCTCCATGCCCAACAAATTCCTGGCTTTCAGCAGGGTTATAGTGTCTTTTCACAGCCCACGAGAAGGCCGTAGGAAAGTGGAGCCAGGAGCACAGTTTTGCCAGCAAACCAGAGCTCTGTTGCTAAATCTAGTATCCAGTCTGGTTGTCCTGACATTGTGAAGATCTAGTCCAAACCCAGGGGAGCTGGTGCTTGTGCTGAAGAGGATCTCTCCCTCCGTAGCAATGATCTCCTGTGCTGAAGAGGACATGATTCTGCTCCTCTCCTACCTGCTGCACTGGCAATGTGTAATTCACATGCTGGCAGTGCCTTCGTTAAAGCAGGTGTGTTGAGGGGAGTTCTGACTTCCATTCCTGGCTGCCTGTGGTTCTCCCTGACCCTGGATATTTTGTGGCAGATGATCTACTTTCCTTTGACGCTTCTTCATAGTAAAGAAAAAGAAATTTCTCCTGGGGAACCTGTTGTGTAACTTACTTCAATCACTGCTAAGGCCTTGTCTACGCTCAAGAATGGCCCCAATGCAGTAACTGGTGTCACTGCATCACTGCTGAGTCGGGGCTGTTTGTGAGCATAGATAAGGCCCAAATCTTCAGGCTTCCATTTCAGTAAGTTGCTGTGCTTGGCAGGCTGCAGGTTCAGGCAGAGGCTTTGAGGGAAGGTAGGTGTGAGGATGTTTCCCAGAGGGCTCTCTGCTTGGTACAGTGTCTCATCAGCTGCTTGGGAGGGAGGAGGGGGCCTGGCAGTGGGACTCTCTGGACCAAGGAGGAATTGGCTGTCTTGGTGCCACTGGCAAGAGAAGTCCCCTCCTCCCTGCTCATGGGTGAACAACTGTCTGTCACAGCTGTGATTACAGCTCTTGCTAAACCACCCCATTTGGCTTGCAGGCCCGTGCATGATCGTACCACATCCTGCTCACGTGCCCTGCAGTCCTGTCCATCAGGGAGAGAGGGACTACAGTGCTCCTTTTCACAAGGAAATGGCGGCTAATTGCAAATGATGCTGTCCCTCTACCACACTTGGCAATCAGACCTCATGAGTGTCTGTTCCCTTCCCCCAGCTCCTTGGCATGTTCTCGCTCTCTGAAGGCCCTTCTGTTTGCCATGTCTGCAGGGGTGTCATTAGCGATGCTGCTGGGGTTTGGGTGGAGATTTTTCTTCACGCTTTTTTCAGTGGTGTGAAGAGCAGTGTCCGCTTGAAGCTGTGATGGGGGTATAGGACCCAGCCTCTCTGCTAATGACACAGCCGTCAGGGTGTGCGGATAAGGCTCTCACTGTATCTCTGTCCTGTGCAGCTCAGCAGTAAAATTTCTCCAGGAAAGAACCTAAAACATGTGCCTTTTATAACGTCGTAGGAAGGCAGCAGTGGTAGCCTGGCCTGCAAGGGGGTTGCTATGATTTTAAAAAGCCCTGTCAGCTCAGTGCAAAGTCCTTACCTGTGCTTGGCTTTTCCAGAGAACATTCCTGAGAAGTGGACTCCGGAAGTGAAACACTTCTGCCCTAATGTTCCTATCATCCTGGTCGGAAACAAGAAGGACCTACGGAATGATGAGCACACCCGGAGGGAGCTAGCGAAGATGAAGCAGGTAAAGGGGCTACATCACCTCTAGCGGCAATGCCAGCATCCCTTAAAGGAAAGTTCCACCACATCTGTGCAGACACGTTTGCTGCTCTTGCTGTGCTGCGTAGCCCCATGGCAACCGCAGTGCATCTGGGGTCAGGCATGTTCTGTGGGGATAAGTCAGGCCTGCAGCTACTTGTAACTTCCTCTTTCAGAGTGCCCTGGAGCCTCTCGTGCATTGAGGGGTAGAGGGTGGTTGCCCATTGAGAGCAGCTGCCTCTGCACGAGGCAATGGTGATCCCTGCTCCACAGTAACAGGGCAATCCCTTGGCTCAGCCCAGACTGACCTGCTGATGCCTTTCCCAGCTGTGCAGTTACTCCTGCGGAGGTTTACTGACTGCTGTTGCTGCCTTGTTAATGTTCCAGCAGAATCCCAGTCTCTGAGAGGTGCAGGATATTAAAGCATTTCCAGAGACGATCCTAACTGCTCTTCCAAAGAGGGAGGCACTCAGATAGGAGTAGTCATGGTTGTATCAGGACCTAGAGATGCGGCGCCTCTCTGACTGCATGTCTGGCCTGCTTAACTCCGCATTCTAAAGGTTTATTTTGTAATGACTCTTAGGAGCCAGTGAAGCCGGAGGAAGGGAGGGACATGGCTAACAGAATCAACGCCTTTGGATACCTCGAGTGCTCTGCCAAGACGAAGGATGGCGTGCGGGAAGTCTTTGAGATGGCCACTCGGGCCGGCTTACAAGTCAGGAAAAACAAGAAGCGTAAAGGCTGCCCACTCCTGTAAAGCGGCAATGCCCGTGAAGAAGGTGACTGCCATCTGTACTGTATCTGTCTTTTCCTGCACCCCCCCTCCCATGTGTGTGAACGGGGTACAGGATGGGAAAAGCGCTGTTAGGTCTGATGTCTAGAGAATACAATGTGGCCTGCACCCCACTGCCCAAAACCCACTACCTGAAGCACGTACGGGGAGGCATCTAGTGCTGCTTCTCTGTGCCATGCGTGGACTGTCCTCCTAAGCCGGTCCTGGGCTCTGAAGGGCCAAACATCTTCGGCAGACACTTCTGTTTTGTATACACCATACAGTGCATTTGAGTAGCTCTCAGTGTTGTACTTCAGTCCCATTTTATACTAATCCCTCATCCCCTGTTATTGTCTGATGCTCTGTACAGATTCTCTGCAATATTTAATCTCTGCCTTCATACTGTTCCATTAGACTCTGCACAATAAGGAAGCTCTGACACAGTCTGTTCTAATCCTTGCCTGTGGGTGTGTGTTCCTGTCCTGGAATCCTGGTTGTGTTTTTCTCTCCAAGCCAAGATGTTCAGCGGCTCCAGCTCCAGGGGGGTTTGGATTCTCCCTCTGGTTAAGGTGTACAGCACACCCACCTGCATTTTGTACACAGACTCACCAAAGCAGTCTCTGTTCTGTCTGCACTCAGAGCCTTGCCCGATTCCACCAGTGCTTTGCAAGGAGCTGTGCTCTGCTGCTCTCAGAAATGCCCTCTGCTGTGCTTTCCCCTTGGACCTGCCCTGTGGTGGTGTCCTCTTACCCTCTTTAAGTAAAGTACGGCCTTGTAAAATAACCATTGGCTGGGTCGTCTTGTACATTAAAATGCATAGTTGGGAGAATAAATGCAAATTGGCATTTTAATAACCGTAACTTAGCGCTTGTGCACCATTATTCTGCCCCATGCACACAGACCTCTCGGGTCTCCTGCTCCCCTCTCCTCTAGCTTCCTGGGGATGGTCTTCATTTATCCCCATGCCATGCAGCTGGCTTGAGGGGCTAGAGCAGGGAGTTGCCAGTCAGGACTTCTTGGTTCTTGTGGACGAAATTCAATGGTTTTGTCCATAACTTGCCTAACCTTAGGCACAGTGCCTCCTACCTCGGCCACCCTGTTTGCAAAATAAGAGTCAGAACTACTTGCTTCACAGGCTGGTGTTCATTAATGCACCCTGAGCGCCCTGCAAACGGCCTGGAGAGGGGCAAAGGCTCCCTATTGCATCTTTCAGTTTCTTTCAAGCCCTAGTTCTAATCACCCTGTTTGACTGAGGTTCCCCACCTCTGCTTTGTCGGGCCGAGGGGAGGATGCCCAGCTACAACTAAGACAGGAGGGATGGGAGGATTCTACATCCCCTGCCAGCACAGGGGTTGAGCACTTTGGGCACGTTACGGAAACCGAACAGCTGAGCTGCTCTGGGGAGGCGAGTTCCACGATGACGAAATGCTAAAGGAAATGTCATGAGTGGTTTGGTCAGAGTCCTTATGTAAACGCTGTTCCAGGCTGGGCCATAGGAAATGGGGTGGCTCAGCTTTCTTCCCTAAGAAGCACAGTGGGTGTCTGTTCTGCACAGCTAACAGTGGTTATCCTCTGCAACACCTCATGCTGATTCTCTGCTGGGAACTCCCCAGTACGCCAGCGGTTTCTGCAATGGGGTTTCACCCAATGCTCACATGAGATAGGGAAACCGAAATCTCTTCCCTTTTCCGCATTGGAACAAATAAAACACTTTGAAACTTTCTACAAAACCAAACTGAAAAACCAAACCTGACTTTTCGACTGATAAAAACCCTTTGATAAAGTAAAAACATTGTTATAATTTTGACTGTTTCAAAAAGTGATTTTTAAAAAAAGAGCAGTTCCGATCTGATGTCAGTTGGGACATTTGGGCACCGTCACAACACTTCATTCTGACATTTTCTCAATAAAATTTCACCAGCAGCTGCATTCCCACAGGCAGTCTTGTTTTTGTGAAATGGCATTTTCTGATTGAAAACCGGGCTCTTGGAACGTTCTGTCCACACTCTAGAAATGCTCCCTAGTTCCCCGACACTGAGCAGGGGGAGCAAATGCACATGTACGTTCAGGCCGGGCAAATAGACCTGGAGCATCCTGATGCTGTTGCCTGCTTTAATCGTGAGCCTGAATGTTTGGAAGATGTCAGGTTTAGAGTAGGGGATCTTTGACAGGATTTGCGGGCACCAGGACTTTGTCCTCTCTCCTCCCTCTGAGCAGAGAGAAGAAGGATGTTTGAAATGAAGAAATACCACATTGCATCATGCCCAGAATGCACCTTGGGGAACAGTACAGCCCTTTCTGTTGCCCTGTCCTGTTTGTGGCCAGCAGGAGTGGAGATAGAAAGCAGTACAAATGCCTAGCGTAAGGCAAACCTGATACCTTTGTGTGTCTGCTGCATGGGTGAATGAATGCGCTGTCAGTGCTGGGTTAGTCTCAGATAACCTCCCCTGCCCATTTGGGGGCTAATTATTTGTGAACTGTCTGAGATGAGCCTGACTGCCCACCCCCCCTCTGGTTTGGGTGCCTGTTCCTGTAGAGCAGCATATTCCTAGTCTGCGGTGGGCCATGCACAGCTCCTCTAGGGCTTTGGGAGAAGGGGAGTTCAGGGCTGTGAGCAAAGGAAAGAGACCCTGTGCTCCCTAACTACTGCTGCTCAACATAAACATCCCATGAGCCAAAGCCTCTTACCAGCAAGGGTCTCCCCCCACAGCTGAACTGGCGCTGTGAGAGCGGTGACCAGCCTGGTGCCCATCGCAGCACACTGCAGTGGGGCTTGCTGCCCGTGGGAGGACCCGAGGTAGGCTGGTGTGGCCATGCTGGAGTCCCTGCTGTCGGTGCTGCCTAGCTCGGCTATGGCTACATGTGCTGCTGCTAAACCTGACTGCAGCGTAGACAGGCCCTTCCCCAGGTGCCTTCTCCTTTCACAAGTCACTGGCCCCAGGGAGCTAGCCGTGAGAGTGACACTGGAGAGCTGCTGAGCCTTGCCTGATGCGTGACACAGTGCTGTGTGCTGTACTCAACATGCTTGTCAAGTGAGACTTCTCCAGTCACAGACGGGGAGCTGCTGTGAGCAGCCCGTCATTGCACACAAGCCGCTGGAAAACCAGTGCCCCTTCCCCTGACTGCTGCCACTTCAATTCCTTCTTCCTAACACCTCTCCTCCGCGGGAGACATAGGCTTTGGCGTTCCAGCTGAGCCCCAGAGGAGCGACATGGCCGGCCGGGGAATCCCTCACCAGACTCTGAACTCCCTCCAGCCAATGGATGGTATCCACGTTCGGCTGAGCGCCAGGGCCTGGGCTAGAGAAAAGCCAGGAGATGCACCAGAGCCCAGTCCTGTGGAAGGAAAACACTCCTCCTTCCCACTTTGTCTCTGCCTGGCAGGCAATCAACCAGCAAGGGAAGGGGCTGGGGCTCAGCTGGGGGTGCCTCATTCAGCACCCCATGCATCTGCTGCTCCCATAATTCACTAGCTGAGTTATGGGGCTGTGAATGGTGCAAAGAGCAGCCCGCTCAGCCCCAGCCAGAGTGCAAACTGCAGCTGAGCGGGAGGGAGGCTAAGAGAGATTCTCTCTCAGGCTGAGACAAGGCCGGGAAGGGAAAGGCCTGGCATGGCTCCTGCTTAGTTTTCTTTCCACAGAAATGAACACACCTGGTTACATGATTCCTGCCTACTTTACCTCTGCCCCTGCCATGAGCCCAGGTTTATCTCCTAAGCCTCTAGAGACTCGTGTGCGGCTCCAGGAAGGGGGAACATATTTGTCCTGTCCCCAGCTTCATACTATCCCTCCCCTGTAAACAGTGCCCAGCACTGCCCCCTGCCTCGGCTTCTGCCAGCTGCATTGTGCTCCGCCCGTGAATCCGGCTCCCCCGTCCCCTGGGAGCAGTGCCCAGCTGCCCAGGGACAGCCGAGGCACTGCTTGAGAGCTGTACAGACAAGCACCACAGTGTTTTCCTCTCACCCTTTATTTTGGAAGCACCATTGCACGGGGCCTGTTGGTCAGGAGCTACAGCCCAGCTGGTCCCCAGCGCGAACCAGCAGTTACTCAGCATCACCGCAACACCTGAGCAGGGTGTAGCCAGCCACTTGGAAGCAGCTCCAGGCCCTGCCGCTGGGCTCTGGAAACGGCTCCAGCTCAGAGGAGCGGGGTCAGTTGACCAGTAGCTGGGAATTTTGATTTTCAAAAGTTTCCATGTGTGGAAAAGGTGAGCCCTAGAGGAGGCGCTCTTGCCGTCGCTGGGGGGGCTGGGTTTCTGCAGTGCCAGTTCAGGCCGGTCAGGTTAGCCATGGGGTGGGATTTTTTTTTTTAAAGTGTCATTTTTCAAAAATTGGACGTGAAATCGTTGTTTAAGCCATTGTGCGGCAATGTCGGCAAACAGCCAGGGCTTCCTGCTGCAGCTCCCCGTCCTGACAGCGGCCAGAGAGGGGACAGGGGAGAGAGGGTGCAAACAAACTCCTCACACGGCCAAGCAGACCAGTTTCTGTGTCCAGCTGCCCTTGTGCTTCCAAGAGTTTACAGAATCGCACTGGCTCAGGTTAGTGACCAGGCCTCAGGGCTGGGCCCAGATCCTACATCAACCAGGCTAATGGGTAGGAGTCGGGGCTGGGTCCATGTGAGAGGGGGGCGTTGGGATAGGGGGTAGGGTCGGGTCTACGCTCCCAGTTCAATCCCTGCATTGCTCCCCTCCGCTGCCCCGCCCCGGGGTGCTTGGAAAGCCCCCGGCAGCAAGCGAGGTGGCTGAGGGGACCAGACAGAGGGCGACGGGAGATTGCAGAGTGAGGCAGGAGACGCCCCGCTGGTGCTGACATGGCAGTAGGACGAGCTGCAGGTGATGCCTCAGTGCTCGTGTCTCCACGCTGGCTCCACTTGCTGCTGGATGTGGCTCCCTGTAGAGAGACGCCGGCCGGCTGTGAGGGGGGAGCAGAGCAGCGCCCAGGAAGGCTGGGGGTGGGGAGCAGGGCAACGTCTGTGTAGGGCACAGGAGGGGGTGAGCAGAGTACCCCTCAGCTCCCTCCTTTCTCTGGAAGGCGGTCAGGGCTGGTGGCAGGGGCAGGAGCTTGCAGTCGCCTGAGAGACCCCAGAGAGGTGCAACAGGGGCATGGACACTCTCCCAAGGCTGCCCACAAGGGGGTGCCAGAGCCAGGCTAAAGGGGGATTCCGGGAAGTGATTGCCGGCCCAACGCGGACCTTGGCTGAGACCCACCAAACTCGTTGCACAGAGCAGCGGCTGTCTGCTTTGCATAAACGTACACCTGTGTTCCCCAGCCCCCGCTGCTCCCCCCACGCATGCTGGGCCTGTCAGCGGGACACCAGAGGGCATAGCTGAGTCACAAGTCATGCTGCTGGGCCCCAAAATGCTGTTGCAGCCAGGCCATATCCCACCCCCCTGGCCCCCACCCTCCCAAAGAGCTGGGGAGAGGGCTGCCCTGTCGGACCCAGATAGGGTGCAAGCTTGTGCTGCTCTTACCTGGTGACTGCGTGCTCAAGCAGAGAGAGCTAAGCTCATCCACAAGGGCATCCTCTTCCGTGCTCTCTTCAGTGTAGGGACACCCCGTGTACCCACCCTTCGCTATGCAGTACCTGAGAAACCTGCAGGTACAACCAAAGGTGCCCATTAGCACTGGGCATGGCCCACCTCCTCAGTGCAGGGAGAGCCTGCTGGGCATGGCCCGCCTCGGCGGGGGGCCTGCTGGGCAGCTTGCAAACCTGTGTGAGAAAGGCCAATGGCACGGTCAACCCGCTCCTGAGAGCACCCGGCCAGAGCCAGCAGGCCCTGCCCAGAGCAGGCCTGGGGCCAGCAATGGAGGATGAAGGGCCTGACCTGTCTCTGTGCTGCGGGCAGCGACCACTGCAATTCTGGGCCCAGCGGCATCTTGCATTTCCACAGGCACGACCGTCCCCAAGTTCTGCAGCCACCTCTGGGGGGCAGCCGTGCAGGGCAACACTCCCCTTTCTGTCCTAACGACGGGGCAGAAGGGTGACAGCCCGGCTGGGCTTTCACCAGGATCCCAGCACTCATCCCTAGCTTACAGAAAGTGCCCTGAGGTCTTTAACGACCACAAGTGGCAAGGGCTTGGAACAGGGTTTAAACGTCTCCTTCAAAAGATTGTGTGTCCCTGCCCCCCGCACGCTGCAAGGTCACTGGCTCCGTCCTGATCCCAAGGGAAGTGTATTGCCACCTCCAGATCTCCCAGCCTAGCTTCCCAGCCCAGTGCCGGCCCTCCTCTCCCCTCGTCACCTCAGAGCGGGTCCCATCCCCGGGGCCCGGTCGCAGGCTGGTGTCCGAGCAGCCACCCGAAGGTGCTAACCCCTGCGAATGGGGCGCTGCGTTTCAGGCCGGAGGAGGGGTCCGTGTGGTTTGGGGGACGGGGGAGCCCCCTGGGCCCTGGGAAGAGGCAGAGGACAGGAAGGAGGAGGCTGCAGGATGCAACTTACGTGTTCCAGTGAGGATCCTTGCTAAGCACAGCCGGGTTGCCCACGATTATTAACAGAGCCTTGGCTCTAGTGATGGCCACATTGAACCTCTAAACAGAGAGAGCAGGATGAGGCCCCTCGGCGCCCAGGATGGGCAGGGGAGCCGGCCCAGACTGCCCTGCCCCACAGCTCTAGGGCTGGTCCCTAGCCCCAGCGCTTTCTGGCTGTCAGTGGGCTAATGGGAGGGGTGGGGCAGTGTCCAGACCAGGATCTGTGATTCCCCAGGGTGCAGTCCCACAGCTGGCTGGCCTCAGCTGGGTTTCACTGTGGCTGCCTGGACTAGCTCTGAGCAAGGCTAGCTGATAGTCCGAGCCCCGTCTACACCAGTGGCACTGCACCCGCAGGGAACGCTGTGTCCTGAGAAGGGCTGGCCCGAGTGCCGCTCTGCTATGTTTGGTCACAGCCTTTGCCTCCCGCTTGGCCAGACTGGCACACAACCGTGTGGGGGGCAGAA